GGTTGCTATAACCACCCAAATCCAATGGCTCTCCACATCCTAATCAAGGGCTCTGTCCCGAGAAGTCTTTCACAGGCATAGGACCTTGTTTGTGTTATCACTTCCGTGATCACACAGATACCTGATGCACACACTGCTGCTAAGGAACAGGCAAATATTTAAAATGCAAAGAACAGTCTGTAAATAGCAAAAACCCTGCCTGAGGTCAGCTAAGGTATAAAGACACAAGGGCGTCTCTTTTCATTTGGGTCTGATTGTGATGCCACATTCTCTCCCACCTGGCACCTGTCTCCTCTTGCCTTTCATGGAGCCCTTCAGGTTGTGCCTCTTTGTGGGTAACTCCTACTAGTGTTTCCCTCCCCTCCAGAAGAAACACATTGGCATCAACCTAAGGAATTCTGTTAACTGAACAAACGTATCCTTGCCTATCCACATTCAATACATAAGGCATTTCTACAGTGGTCCATGCCACAAACCCATCAGACTCCGTTAACTCAGGTGACTAAACTAAGTAAACAAGCAGGATGATGCTAGAGAAATATAGTGTTGTAAGAACTGGGACATGGTGGGGCCAGCAATAGTCCTGAAGGTCTGAAAACAGGTAAGTTGAGGGCCCTTATTTTCTAAGAGGTGGAAATCTGGCAAAGGAAGACACAGACTACTGCTAGAGTCAGCCCAGAAGCAAAAAACTAAAAGCAAAGCATCCCTAAACTTGGAATTCTGCCTGCTGAAAAATTTCAGTTTCAGCTTTTGACTGATAGCTTTGTTTTCTCACTGCAGCTCAGAGCCCAAAGTTCAGCCGAAACCAGTACTGCCAAGGCTTCAGACCTGGTAGAAACAGTGATCCTTGGGCTTTCATGCTAGGACCCAATCTGTCTCACTGCAGCAAGGCAGAGGGAAGAACACAGAAGGGCTCTCCAATAAGCACAACTCTCATTCTGTAGCTCCTCAGGGCTGTGAATCATGAAAGCCCATGCAGGAACCCACCAGAAAATCAGGGAAGTTTCCAGTTAGATTGATGACATTTTTCCTTCTTTTTTTTTTTCTTTTCTTTTTCTTTTTTTAAACAAAGTCTTCGCACAAAACTCTTCAGATTCAAGAAACGCAGGGCCAGTGCAAAAAGTCCAGATGCACACCCAGGAGAGGGAATTCTACTAGGACTGGGATAGCCTCCTCTTTTAGAGGAGGCTGAGCGTATTACCAGTTACTGGGTTTAGAGGATAGACTAAGCGCACATCTCCCTTAGCTTTGCACAATTTAAGAGCTATTCTATGCAAACACCCTTAAAAGCGAGTTCCCAGATTAGTGCATGTTCAGGCCAGAGGGTGCATAGGTTGAGAACCCCTCAATCTGATGGGCATTTCCCTCCTGTTGTGACTGATGAACAAAATCCAATCCAGCTGCAGCATGGTACATGCCAAAGGCACACTCTTACCTCTCAAACTCTACACCTGCCTCTATCCAGCATGCTGCAGATAGAGAGAACATCTTCCTTTTGAACTCAGTACCTCATTCTGATTTCCCTCTGATAGCAGCTCACCATTTCTGCTTCAAGAACATTTCCCTCAGCTTCCTCCTCTCCGCATCTAAATCACAATTTACAGTATCCTCATATTTTTCTGTACTGTTTCATTTCTCTCTGCCCAGCTTTGCGGTATAACACATAATAGATTGAATAATAGACTGTATGAAAGATTACCTCAGTCTTTTCTCAAGTTTCACTATATTAACCAACTTTTCATCTCTAGAGTCCAACCTGTTTGTACCAGTGCTGCTATCACTCCTGATAAAAAACAGAAAAACAGGGAGGGCACTTTAAATTACCTGATGCAAGACATGGAATAATAGGACAGAGAATACCAAGTTTTTACTCAGTCATTGCATGCATGGGAGCACATGACTGGAGAGGAAAGAGTCAAGCCTACTAGTGGGGGTAGGGTTGGGCAAAAGCATGAATAAAAATGACTGCCCATGTAAACTCAGTATTGGAGAGCATGAAATTACCTTTCTGATAGAACCAAAGAGAACATGGAAAAGTGAAGTCAAGCTCTTTCCTGACTCTTTGCTACAGCCATTCCCACCCACGGAACATAGCAAATGTGGAATTACCTTCAGAAAGCATCAAGCTATAGTAAAGAAGAAAAAGTTTGGAGGTCAACTCTCACAATTATCCAGCCTTTTAAGACTCACCAAGCTTCACAAGCGTCACATACATATGAATTTTAACATCCATGGCAAAGAATCAAAATACTCAAGGATCATAATCACGAAGGTCTCACTAGGACTAGTAGAGCCCTCACGTCTAGAGGGGCAAATTCAAACAGACACTACTACTGCTTCACCATGGCAAACAAGAACGCAGAAAGTAACAGTGAAAATGATGGATGCTTCCAAATCCGTCTTACTTGAATTATTATTTAAAATTAGTCTAAAGAAACCACCAATAATAATTCAGACTTCTGTTAAGAGGGTCTATCTAAACACTGAATCATAAATTACAAAAAAGCATAAGCGTATTGATTATCAAATTCTCTACACTGAGTAACTTCTATTCATATTAATCATGGCTATAAGTCCAAGTAAGCAAAGAAAGAGGGATTAACAGAAGAAACACTTGCAGCATTTATTTTATTTTTGTGAAAATAAAATACCTCTCAGTAATAAAGATGGGTTTCTCCAGTAGAGTTCTGTAAAGAATGAAGTATATAACTGGGGAGCAGTGAGGGGTATTAATGACCAAGATAACATGAAATGATATGCCAAAATGAGCTAGTGAGCCTGTTCTCATAACCATAACCCAGCCTATTTGATAACATCTTCTTCCATTTCCATTACTTCACCATCACTCATTGCATTATGTCTAAACATAGACTACAAACTCTTCATAATTTTGTTTTGTAAAGCATTATGCATATTTATGGAGCTATCTAAATAATCTTAAATTGAGTTACAAGACCAACCGAAGACTGAGGGAGAGCCAAGTCATGCCCTCATACATAGAGGGCTGCCAGAAGAGCAAGGATAAGCTAAAATGGCCAAAAGACACAAAAGATGTCTTTGACACACATTTATTTTAGAAGACAAGAATCAATAATTCAGGGAGAGAGTTTGGACCAACAATTAGAAACATCTTGTAAACTCACAGAAGTGACAGCACTAGTACATCATCATCAGATGCATCAGATAAAGGGTCATGTGAGTACCAAGCCATGTTCAATACTCCAAACTGTGGTGGGAACAGGTCTGCCAGTAAATCCCCCCAAAAATCCTCTCCAGACAATGTGAAGAGGACGAGCAGGACACAAATATACACTGACGTTGATGGTATCCTGTTGTTACGGGGTTTATCAAGGGACAACATTGAACGCAACATCCAAAACCAGCTGTGCAGCAAAAGCATGCCTCTGATGTGGTGGTGTTCTGGGAAGCAAGCACAGAGCTGTGCAGCGAAAAACCTTCACATTTTACTACGGAAAGAAAACAACTCAACTATTATTTTAAAGCAGTTTTTTTATTAGCAGTAGAACAGATCCTGCACCTCATCAAAGCAGTCTCTGTATTCAGATGAAGAACTGAAAGACCTAAATCTTTCCATGTAATGCTGGGAGTGGAAACATACACTTTGCTTTGGCATCCCCCACTAACTACTTCGTAACGCAAAATAGCATTTGAATTTGCAAAATTTAAAAACATTAAAAACTGATAGAATTAAACCTGTGCCTTGAGAAAGGACTTAACCTTAAAAGGACAGAATATTTAAGCTGTTTTGGGAAACTAGCGAAGAGCATTTGCAACTATACAGCATTAAGAGTTTGGCAGGAAACCTTGTTTAAAGGATGGCTTACAGCCCTGAAAATATTTGTATTTAAAAGAACGATTTAAGAAATGAATTTGCTCATGTACACATACATATAAACACACAACTTATACAGAAAATACCATATTTGCTCATAAGATACGGGCAAGCAAGAAACCTCCACTCCTCTTAGGTGTTATGCAGGAAAAATGCTTATAAGTCTACCAGATGGCTCTGGTAAGGAGCAAGAAGAATTTTATAAGCATCCATACATTTGCATTGTACCAAATCAAACTGAGAATTTTCTTATTGCATTAGCTGAATTAAAACAGTGACATTTGCCCCAGAACTCATTGTCAGTCACTCTCAGAAGGAGGATGCTGTAGGAGATGGACACGAGGTTTGATCAAGCTTAGTAACTCCTACAGGTGAACATGTACTTCCTTTAAAAAGAAAACACATCTATAAAATATGCCAAATTTGACATGTGAAGAGTTAGAGAACTTGGAAACAATAAGATACAAAATGCAAACAGAGGACATTTTGGAGAGGCAGAGCACTGGCAACACTGTTCCCATTAAAAGATTTTCAGAAACTTGATGGCTCCCAAGAACAGCACAATATCCACTGCCCTTGTGTTCCACCAACAAAACAAAACCCTTCCAGAACATATACTGTGACAAATCACATATGCTAAACTGCAGATGCTACACTTCTTTTGTGCACAGAACAGAAAAACATCATTTTCTGTGATGCAATGCGTTGCTTCTGCAGAGAGCTCCATGTGCTTTATCAGCATCTGTAAGCTTGTCCTCACAATGCCCTATAAGGTAGTGAGTCCCGACCATAGCCTGCTTGTTTTACAGTCATTTCCCATTTCCATGACCATTCTTTCTGTTAAGTCCCTATTTTACATAGCAAACCACTGGTATTGCCTCAAAGCCAAAGAACTAGATTTAGTGGAGGTTTATTCCAACAGATCTCAGTGCAAGGTTAACAGCTTTCACCCTCTTTCTTTATATAGGGAGGCATACAAACCTAGTCAGCAATTTTCCAGGCAAAAGTAGTCCACATAATTTTTAAACAACCATATTTCGACAATGTCTTTAACTTCTTTCTTTGAAACCATTTCTCCCATGACTTAAAGTTTTCGTCTCTCTATGTGTTGAAAAAAAGAAATAAAAATTAGGTTTTTAAACTGTACCTTCCATGACATACACCAGGGAACCCACATCTCCTTCCTTGATGATGCAGCTGTCTTTGCCATACTCCACTGGATACATACAATCCACTATCTCCTGGATCTGAGAGAGTTCCAGATTCTTCATGAAGTCATTGTCAAGGATCGCTTCCTTTATTAGCTCCTTGGACCTGCGGCAAAAAAAGAGAAGATTCATCCACCTGTCCATCAGCCAAGCTCATTAACTTTAGCACAACCACACAGTGCCCCAATGGGTATTTCACTGAAAAAATAAAAACCCAAAATTTTCCATAAAAATCTGATAAAGTCCATCTGCAGAGAAGTGAAAAAAAAATACAGAAATGTTAACTTGTAATTATTTTTTGCAAGTAAGTTTTAGATACATCCAGTATTGATATAAAAATAGATTTCATGTGATTGCAAGATCGTATTTTAGCTACAGGTTTCACATATATAATAACACCAAAGAACAACACAGCTACTTGAAATATCTTCCATTAACAAAACTGAAAGGAGTTTACTCACATTTTGAAAGGAGTTACTTACATTTACAAACATGAATTTAAAGGATTTATGACTTAGTTTACTATATATTCTATCAGATTATACAAACTGTAGCACACAAAAGCACAATACTGCACTGATTCTTTGAGTACTAATCAAATACCAAAGGCCATTATATTCACTAGAGGCACCAGTTATAGGAATAACACCATTATTAATTGATTTCTTCAACGACTAAATGGAAAATTCCAAAGCTGTATTAGTGTGCATAGAATTACATGGGCAATTTTGATTTAGCATGCAATCCAGTTGGAAGTCCGGATTTCTTAGTAGTCAAAGACTATTAAGTGTAAAATTGAGTAAGGAAGAAGTTCTTTCTAAAGATACAGATTTCAGAACTCAAAGTTCAAGCGTTCTTTGGGAGACTACCCAGACAGGTATGTAATACAACCTGCTATCTCTAGAAGTGCCTCTGCCAGAGTCATGTTGTGACAGAAAATGTGCAACAAAAACACTGACATGTTTTTCCTGATTCTCCTGATATTCTTTCAATTTCTACAACTAGAGTGCTCACTACATGATGAGTCATGCTCAGGTGAACCCTCCAACCTTCCTGCCAGACTGTCAAGTTCAACTTCATCCACCTGCTAATGCAGCGTAACCACCGTGTCACAACATTTTGCAAAAATCTCCTAAAGCAACGCGTGCAAATGAAAAACTGAGAATGATAAATTTAGACCTATACCAAAACTACAGCCCCCAAAACACCTACAGGCTGGACACCAGGTCCCCAGCCCTTCATTTCTCACTCTGCAGCTCCACTTCTGTGGGGTGAGCGATTTGCTAATGTGAACAGAGTCCAGGCAGCTGACAGCTATCTGCAGAGCTTATGCATTCAAAAGAGTTTTATCTTTTTGAAATACGAATATGAAACAAGGTTTTCAAAGAAAGATACATTAATAGTGTGTTATATTAATAAAAGATACATTAATGATCGTGTCTTCTTGAAGAAGAGCCAAATTGGGACTTCAGAAGACCAAAACCAGCCAGAGAGCCTTGGAGATATTATTCCTGCACCACAGTCCTTTAAAATATACGTCAAGATTATACGCAGCAGAGATTCAATTCATTAACATTTAAGATGCTTTTTACACTTTTGATAGTTTTGAGGTTATTTCAACAAAACATGCTAGCTTAAATCGGAGTCCATCACTACTGACCCAGCTGAAGCGCAGGATGGGAAGTGGATCAGACTTTTTAAGTACTGTCTGCAAGACGACATAGACTCGGACAGATAGAAACCCCTTTTGCTCTTGAGAATTTTAATTTGACTTCACATATCGTCACTCACTTTCCTTTTGCATGCAAATAAAAACCACCAGAAAAACCTATGTCTGTGTTATTTCTTGCTTTCACTAATGCAAGAAGCTGGTAATTTTTAAGGGTGACCAGATGACAGATAACCCAATTTCCTTATTCCTTCCTCCTGTGCTAGAGAGAGACTACGCTTTCGATGCTATGTCTTGACTCAGTACTGCTGCTTTGGTCTTAGCCACCCCCAGGTCCCCCAAATCCTCCTAACAAAGGCATTAATTATTAGCATTACTCACAAACTGCCTGACAAAGAAGAAAGCATAATACAAGCTTTTGCATTAGTCATACCAACTAGCACTACAATTTCAGCCATTTATTTCATTCCAAGGCTCAAAATGAGGCTTTATCCTCCATAAAATAAAGTCAGCCTTTCAAGTGAAGTGTTTGTAAGAATACCCACAAGAGACTGGAGGGAATTCAGATATGGTTCAAGTCAGACCTCCCCTGTTAATTTAGAGGCCCTCAGCAAAAAACAATTCTCTTCTTGTCAGAATCCAGCACAGCAAAGGACTTTAAAAGGATACAGGAAACTTAGTCTAATCAACAGCACAAGGACTAGGAAAATCCATTAGAAGTCTTCTTGGGGGAAAAGCAGCAAAACTTACATAACATGAATAAACTTATGGAATTTATGAGCTTAATAGTATTATTACAGTCTAAGAGTACGTCTGAACCTACTGATTCACAGCCTCTGCCCTTCACCATAGAAATATCAGAAAAACTAAATCTCAGAGGCCCACCAAGACATTCAAACCCTTTAAACAAAACTACGAAATACATCCATTATGAGGAAAAACACATTGGCCAGGACATTAATAACACAGTTTCATCTCTACCACATCTAAGCATCTTAAAATTAAGTATCTCTACAGAGTGGTCTGGATAATAACTAAGTCACGCTTGAATGTAACCAAAATAGATATAATTAGTTACGGATAATTAGTTAAAATGACATTTCAAATACAAAGAGCATACCATGAGAGAAAGCACCTCTGGTTGCCCATAAACACTGTTGGCTGGAGGAGCAAGCAACTTGAAACCCAAACTGCCTATTTATGAGTGTATTTGCACCAGACTAAACCACACTTCTTAGTTTTTAAGCTACAAACCTCTTCACTGGGAAATATTCCATCCATCTTTAAAAAAAATAAATAAAAGGCTTATTCTAACATATTGGAAAATTAGTTCATACTAAAAATACATCGTCATAGCTATTTATCGAACATATATAATTTATACATGTTCCTTTTCCGAGTTAAGTAAAGGTGGCCCGTCCACCTGTGTCAAAATTGGTAAATTTTGTCATAATTTGGTATATAACGCGTCATGATAATCATGAGTCCCAGTATAGTCCCTACATACTATAGAGACAGAGGTGTAGTACAGTGGGAGTGTTTACCACTATCTTATCGTTTTTTTTCTTTTATTAATATACAATCTTAGAATAACAGAACAAGATGTTAAAGGTTACAAGATTAAGTTGTAACAGTCCGCGATTTACTCGCAAATATATGTATTATGTCCACAGAGGTGAATAGTGCTCGATTTGATAGTCGACGAGCAACCTTCTCTCGTCGGGACGAGGAGAGGCCCAAATCCGCCAATAACTCGTAGTTGCCCTGATGCCATTTTCCGCGTGCTCCAAGTGGGAAGCCCATGAATTTGATGCGGGTTGCATTTGTTAGTTCCTGTACTTG